TACATACATACATACATACATACATACATACATACATACATACATACATACATACATACATACATGTCACTACTGTCCCTCTATATGTCTTAAATTTATGTTGTACACATTAAGATGTATTTACGTATCAAATATCACGAATATGTACGGAATTGTTCCTTATAAACCTAACCACATATAAGTACTTTAGTATTAAGGTTAATCTATTAAATTGATTACGGATGGATATACGGGTGTAAGGCCTGACAGACACAGATCCCGAAGTGATCGATATGTTGAGATTCCACCAAATTGAGGTCGACAATTAAACTAAGTTTTCACACCACCTATTCGAGGACGACAATTAAAGTTCTCTCTACCACTAAGTTGAGGTCGAGAATAAAACCAGGTTAGCGCTACTCCCAAGCTGAAGTTGACAACTGAGCTAGATTCTCGCTACCACAAAGCTGAGATCGACAGTTGAACTAGGTTCTCAGTACAACCACTTTTGAGGTCAACAACTGAACTAGGTTCTAGCTACCATTAGGCGAAGGTCGACAACTGAACTAGGTCCTCGCTACAACCAAACCTAGGTCGATAATTAATCTAAGATCTCTCTACCATCAAGTTGAGGTCGGCAATCAAACTAGATCCTCGCTACTGCCAAACCAAGATCGATAATTAATCTAGGTTCTAGCTACACGATTCCCATTAGAAATAAAACCAATAATCTTAGTTTTGCTGGTAAATTCAACAGATTCGCTTTTAAATACTGGTTAAAGTACAAAAAGTCAGTGGCCAAAATAACGTCGTACAGATATTTTAATATCTGTTTAATAAATCTGGTAGACAATGAATAATATGTTCGATAGCACTAATGACAACGAGACGAGACGAGACGAGACAATACAATACAATACAATACAATACAATACAATACAATACAATACAATACAATACAATACAATACAATACAATACAATACAATACAATACAAGAGACGAGACGAGATTAGACAGGACGAGATAAGATAAGATAAGATAAGATAAGATAAGATAAGATAAGATAAGATAAGATAATATAAGATAAGATAAGATAAGATGAGATAAGATGAGATAAGATCTTTGATTCAACAATTTAGATGTTATTCCTCGCATACCGGGATCAAAGAATGCATTAACATATTCCGACAACCTGGCAGCTATCCACTACTGTGAGGATCAACTTGCGGGATTTTCCTTCGTTGCAGTCGCCGATTTCGATGAATTTATATTTCCCAGAAAGCAGGCAGATATAAAACAACTAATGGTTAGTGATTAAATCTTTGGTAATCATTACTGATCCACTGTTTTGATAATACTCGTTACATTATTTACTTTATTTATTTCCATGCTTTACTATTTTTTTATTTTTCGTTTTCTTTCTTTCAATGGACTCGTAGCAGTTCTCATTTCTTTCTTTGATTCTTTGTTGTTTATTTACTTAATATTCGATGATTCATGTTTTTCATATATTCCTTACTTTCACAGACTTGCGTGTTAAATGAAACATATGAAATATAAAGTCACTATTCCGATCCTTTTGCTTATTTTTCTTTTCTTTTTTATTTACATATTATTAAACAGAATAATGGTATTACATTATCGTCAACAAAAGGCCGTAAAATTAAAGGACATTATTCGGTCTTGGCAAAAATACTCATAGTCTTGTTCTCTTACACAGCAATAACCTAGCAATCTTGTATGTCACTAAATGACATAAATGTAGAAAGAGTACATTGACATTTCTAAAGTTGTTCTCTGTTCACAAAGACATGTCTGACTGAATGCCCCTTGCACCTAACACGAAAACCTCACAAAAATACTGACGGAAAATCATACCAAACACGTGCTTCCTGGTAGTAAAATAGCGCTATACCTTGTTGAGATTTCAATCATTAAATGGACGACTTACAAAATGTTCATTAAAACGCTGAAATACTTTTTAAAATTATGTTATTCTTATAACACAAAAAACAGTCAAGTGTGTGTATGTGTGTGTGTGTGTGTGTGTGCGAGAGAGAATTAAGGCATCTTTAACTTTAACAGTCTAGTCATATCGCTATGTCTGCAGTATGGCGCTTTATATATATATATATATATATATATATATATATAGATAGATAGATAGATAGATAGATGTGTGTGTGTGTGTGTGTCTAGCATTGGGGAATCATACCGTCGACATGTAGCATCATGTCCCACTCAGTCATACTAAACTGGCACCGGGCTGACCAGTCCTAACCCTAGCCTCTTAATGCTGCTAGTACCATTTTTATAAGTCTTTGGTATGTCTCGGCTGGGGTTCGAACCCGCGACTTTGTCTCCAAGAGCGGTCACCATAGTAATCAATATATTTGCTTTCAATTATATAATAAAAAGACTATTGACCGAGTATTTAAAACAATTTGGTACCCATTCATGTGCCGCAGAATGCTCGCAAATTAGGCGGTCATGTGCCGCATGACGTCAGACCCAACGATTTTAATTCTCAGTTAAAAACCTAAACATATAAACCGTCAAGAATGCTGACGTCATTTTAACGTCAAGACTTTAGATCTTACGTAATAGCGTAAACAATTATATTAATGAAACTCTCTCAGATGATTTGAAGAAAATGTTCAAACTAAGTAAACAGTCTTGTCTTTACAAGATTCGAAAACAGTAGTGTTGTATTTACTATTGTAAGTATCCCTTCTTGTGCCCAAATGTCTCATTTTCAAACAATAACGTTACCATTACTGTTCCACACCTATGAAGCTCTTGACACTTAGTTTTCAAGATTTCTTGCCCTTTTCTAAAAGTACTCTCTGTACTCATCTCAAGGTCGAGTTCAAATGCACACTGCACAGATCAATTTATGTTGGCATTATGCCCAAGTAGGTCTGGGTCCGTGAAGTTCGTTAGGAATTATCAACACAACAAAAAAGATCCTGTCCTTCCGGTGCATCATGCGATAACAGATCAGGGTCTATTTTGGCTGCAGCTGTTCTCGGCTTATAACTGACAAATAATTTATCTATTTCATCCTTCAAATGACATACATCACGTGACTAAAGGTCCAGTATACTGATAAACGAATAACGGAGAGACAAGGTTTGCTATAACTATTGCAAATATAAGGAAACAAAATTAAAATTTCATTCCATTGTAGCACTGATTTTGCATCAGTTTGCAGAGATAATTGCAAAATTAAGACTAAAAGGTAACATTTAAAGAGTTTGATATTCGTAAAGTTGTCGATTTAAACGAGAAGCACAAAGTCAAGATGAATGCTTTAAAAACTAATAATACTGGAAGTGTCACAAATTGTCAAACAAAGAAATTTCTTACAGACTTTTAGCTAATAGTTCTGACTTGCTGAAAGTTCTCATAAATCATTAGAGAAAGGGAACTGGAATACATATTGACTTAACAGCCTCTACGTATCCCTACGCCATAGCAAACTCTTTCTTTCCGTCCATTCGGAGTCAAGCATTTGTGTACTTTTGTGTACATCCTATAAATTTGTAACTATTCAGAAACTTTGAATTACATTTTAACAAGAAATCTAGTAATTTTATTTAGTTGCATTTAGATGAGGGGTTTTTTGCGCTTGTGTTTCTACTGAATATATTCGTCATATTCTTTTTAAGCCGGGATTTAATTCACAAAGAAAAATGTGGTAAGCCTGACACGGTGTTTTCTTGGAACGCAAATAGAACCAACAATTTGTTCACTTTGTATTGTGTCCACCATTTTAAAAATATATAAAAAGAACAGGTAAAAGATTTTATATGGTGTCTATCGTCTATGATAGAGCAGGGTGGTGCTTTAGCATACAGTAGTGTTCATCATCTTAAAGATTTACTGACAATAGGATATATCTTTCACAGGTTTACCTGAGCGAGATATATCCGGATGTTGGTGTTTTCACCTTTCAGTCCGAGATTTACATAACCAGCTGGGGTAAAATGAACGAGAACAGCCATCTCATTCTCACTCAGTACTCCAACAGGACCGAGGCGATAATGGATCGAGTGAAAAATATGCTGATTCCACAGAGAATTGAGCCTGGAGCTGTATCAACCCACACAGCCAAACCGAGTTCTGGCTACAGACGGTGAGTAATTTGTAAAATGTAATAATTCTACGTAGAACATAGACAAATTCTTTTTCAACACTGTATGTATATTTAATTTAATTCTTTGTCTCTTAGTTATAATTTTTTATTTCATTGCATGTTATTGTAAATTAACAGTTTGCTGGACTTGACCTTGTCCGAAATAGAGTTCATTTCTGTTCGACCGTTTTTTTATAATTCTATTTATGTAAAAAAAACTAATAATATCTTCATTATTCTCTATGGGTATGAGATCATTGACAGAATTATTATCAACCAAACAAGAAGGCATAAACATGTTGATCAGGGTTAGGGTTTCGGAGACTCCTAAGTGAATTTAATAGGTTATTGGTTGTTTTTAGAAAATGCTAATTGTGACCTTGAGGTCAAGTAGAGAACTATATTATCTTGTGACTGTTAGGTTTTACCAGTCGTGCTTTAAGATGTAGAACTTTAAGTTGTATTATGTTGTGACCAGTTTGGGTTTAGTTTTATTTTCTTTAATTTTTTTTAATTCAAGTGATAATTTTCTCTGGAAATACAAATGTTCTCTGATAAAATTCTTGGATAAAGACATTCACTGGAATTTATACTGAATTCGAACCTGGAATAAAATTTATGTTATCCAACTTGAGACTGTTGGCACATCAGTATTTCGTAGGCTATAACATTCATGTCATCGCATTCAATATTAGAGATTTATTCAGGATATTTTATTACTAGGACTTGTGCATTTAATTCTTAGATTATTTTCTGATTTAATTCGCAATACATAAGTTCTTTTTTCTCGTTTTTTTTTTACTTTGCATTCTAAAGAAATAAATTATTTGTTAACTTTTACAAAGATTGTTGTCTTCACACTACTCGTAGCAGAAAACTGGAAACTCTTCCGGGATATGAACCCGGGACCTTTCGTACCCAAAACGAGAATCATACCCCTGGACCAAACATTGTTGTCTTCACTCTTTTATGATACATATTATATAAACCCGAAACAAACATATGGCCCACACTACCTAAGGTAAATATTTTATTAATGTTGCTGAATCCAGATAGATTATAACTCCACTCTGCATTAACTAGTCTTTCTAGAGAGATTATAACCCTGCTCTGTATCAACTAGCCGTCGCAGACCCAAATGTGGCAACAGATGGTAATCCTTTAAAACTCTACTGATGCTAGATTAAATAAAATTAGGCCATGTATAAATTTATGTGACGAAAAATAAATATAGATTCCGAATGAGAGTTCTTCTCAAAATTTGCTATTACAAAGATAACATAGCAAGGATCATTATCAACACCTAGAACCAAGTTAATATCCGACTATAGAGGCTAAGTACTTGTTAAAATGCCGAGACAACAGACTCGAGATCTATATCATCTCACTGAGCTAAACCGTTCTCATGGATACAGAGGGTGAGTAATTTTGAGAAAATTCTTCTCATTCTACAGATATAAAAGGTAGGGATGTACATCCATGCATGGGGCAAAACTGATTCCTAATTCCAGAGGGTGTATGCTTTGTAATAAAAACCGATTCGTAATAGAATAGAATTTGAATTCTGCATTAGCTCTAAGACCAAAACCGAGTTTTGCTACATAGGTGGGTACTTGGAGAATAGTGCCACAAGCTTATCAACTCCTTGAACTAGGAAACGTTAGTACTTTGTATAATCTGCCGATTCTTGGTAGAGTAGAGACAGAATATGTAGCAAAACGTGGAACCCAAACTCATGGCTACAGATAATAAATGATTTGTACAATATGCTGATTCCATAGAGAATAGAACAACCCTTCATTGTTTAATGCATGAAATCAAAACCTAGATACGTCAGCAGAGGCAGATTTCTTTGTAAACTTTGTTGATACCGTAAGCATTTCAACTAGACTATATCAAGTTGTGGGACAAAACGAAAATATGGCAACAGACGAGTCGCTTATAAAATCTGTCGAATTCAAAAAGAACATTATCTGTACTACCTCATGGAACCAAAACAGAAAGTTAGTGATTTTTTTAAACGCTCATTATTCCAATAATAATATAGACATGGGATGAAGTCCTTGTAAAATATTGTGGTTGCAGGAGAAATAAAGTCACAGTATGTATCGGCCAATGGAGCCAAATCGAGTTCTGACTTCAGACGGTGAGTAATTTGTAAAATCAGCTGATTCCAAAGAGAATATGGACAGGGTCATAAAGATATGACTACACAGGGCAAATCCTTGTAAAAATATAGTCTGATTCCTAAGATAATAAAGCCTGAACTTATGTCGACTCTTGGAGCCAAATTGAGATCAGGCTTAAGAGGTAGAGTACTTTGTAAAATCTATTGATAAAGCAGGAAAAGAGAATTGGTTGGTAGCAACTCATGAAGCGAAACCAACCTCTAATACTGATGGCGATTCCGTTAAAAAACCAGTTGAATCCAGAGAGAACAGAATTAGGCTATGCACCAACTCCAAACCGAGACATGTGTATAGCAAGCAATTCCTTGCTAAAAAAAAAATACTGCTTCCAGAGAGAGTAATTCTGGACGAGTCCTTGGTAAACCTCTTAAACCAGAAAACTGAAATCTAATGCAGATTTCGAGTCTGTTGTAAAAGGCGTTCAATCCGGAGAGAACAGAACCATGCTATGCTCTAGCTCAAGGATCCAAATCGTGACATGCGCATGGCAAGCGATTCCTTGGTAAATAAGGTGGCGCTCTACAGTTTCGTATTTAGCATAGGGTTAAAATTTTAAAGACAAAGAGTTTCCCCGGGTTTCCTCACTAGTTATACTGGTTATTTAAAAGAGACTTTGAATATCTTAGGTTTTGTTCAAAGAACCTTTAATTCCCTTTATTTTGATGTACGATTGATGGGTGTAATATGGGTTAGAGAGTATACAGCTTGGACTTACTCCAGATGTGCATCTTTCAAAAAAGTGCTAGCTCTACTTGCTCATTTTCACTTCTCGAACTTCAGAGGTAAATTGTAAAAAAAGAGCCGATAACTTTTTTACATTTTATGTATTTGGTAATTCAGTCATTGCACTTTGAGAAGCTGGTATTATCTAGTTTGGCAAAATTAATTTTCCATATTTTAATAGCTGCCAAGAATAGTGTACTTTAGACAAATTTAGGTTGATTTTTGGAGCACAAGGGAGCAGTCATTTTAGTTCGCAGTGTCCTAAGATCATTTAAAATTTCCAAAAGTACAATATCCAAAGAAATTTCATCCACATTACATGAAAGTAATATATAGGTATGCCAACATTCTCTATACTGTGCATGTTTAAAATGCAAACAACTTCACCTTACATACATCACTCTCTCAAAAGTACATAATAACTGGTGAGCGCCACCAGTAAAATAATACTGCTTCCAGAGGGAACAATATTGAGACATGCGCATGGCAAGCGATTCCTTGGTAAATAATTCTGCTTCCAGAGGCAACAATATTGAGACATGCGCATGGCAAGCGATTCCTTGGTAAATAATACTGCTTCCAGAGGAAACAATATTGAGACATGCGCATGGCAAGCGATTCCTTGGTAAATAATACTGCTTCCAGAGGGAACAATATTGAGACATGCGCATGGCAAGCGATTCCATGGTAAATAATACTGCTACCAGAAGGAACAATATTGATACATGCGCATGGCAAGCAATTCCTTGGTAAATAATACTGCATCCAGAGGGAACAATATTGAGACATGCGTATGGCAAGCGATTCCTTGGTTAGGTGGCGCTCACCAGTTATTATGTATTACTCTGGAAGCAGTAAATAATACTGCTTCCAGAGGGAACAATATTGAGACATGCGCATGGCAAGCTATTCCTTGGTAAACATTACTGCTTCCAGAGGGAACAATATTGAGACATGCGCATGGCAAGCGATTCCTTGGTAAATAATACTGCTTCCAGAGGGAACAATATTGAGACATGCGCATGGCAAGCGATTCCTTGGTAAATAATACTGCTTCCAGAGAGACAAATATCGAGACATGCGCATGGCAAGCAATTCCTTGGTAAATAATACTGCTTCCAGAGGGAATAATATTGAGACATGGGCATGGCAAGCAATTCCTTGGTAAATAATACTGCTTCCAGAGGGAATAATATTGAAACATGCGTATGGCAAGCGATTCCTTGGTAAATAATACTGCTTCCAGAGAGAACAATGTCGAGACATGCGCATGGCAAGCGATTCCTTGGTAAATAATACTGCTTCCAGAGAGACCAATATCGAGACATGCGCATGGCAAGCGATTCCTTGGTAAATAATAATGCTTCCAGAGAGAGCAATGTCGAGACATGCGCATGGCAAGCGATTCCTTGGTGAATAATACTGCTTCCAGAGGGAATAATATTGAGACATGCGCATGGCAAGCGATTCCTTGGTAAATAATACTGCTTCCACAGAGGACAATTTCAAAACATGCGTATGGCAAGCGATTCCTTGGTAAATAATACTGCTTCCAGAGAGGACAATATCGAGATAAGCGCATGGCAAGCGATTCCTTGGTAAATAATACTGCTTCCAGAGGGAATAATATTGAGACATGCGCATGGCAAGCGATTCCTTGGTAAATAATACTGCTTCCAGCGAGGACAATATCGAGACATGCGCATGGCAAGCAATTCCTTGGTAAATGATACTGCTTCCAGAGGGAATAATATCGAGACATACGTATTACGAGCGATTCCTTGTTAAATAATACTGCATGCAGAGCGAACAATATCGAGAGATGCGTATTACGAGCTATTCCTTGGTAAATAATACTGTTTACAGAGAGAACAATGTCGAGACATGCGAATGGCAAGCGATTTCTTGGTAAATAATACTGCTTCCAGAGAGAACAATATCAAGACATGCGTATAGCAAGCGATTCATTGCTAAGTAATACTGCTTCCAGAGAGAACAATTTCGAGACATGCATATGGAAACCGATTCCTTAGTAAAATATACTGCGTCCAGGGCGAACAATATCGAGATATGCGTATTACGAGCGATTCCTTGGTAAATAATACTGCTTCCAGAGAGAACAGTATCCAAACAATATAGAGACATGCGCATGGAAGCGATTCCTTGGTAAATAATACTGTTTCCAGAGAAAACAATATCGAGACCTATATATAGCAAGCGATTTCTTTGTAAGTAATACTGTTTCATAAAAGAACAATATCGAGACATGTGTATGGCAAGCGATTCGTTGTTAAATATTAGTGCTTCTAAAGAGAAAAAATATCGAGACACGTGTATAGCAAGGGATTCCTTGGTAAATAAAACTTGTTGTAGAGAAAAATTACCGGACTATGCACAAACTCCCAGAGTGCAGTCTAAATATTGCTGCAGACTCCTCAGATTTATGTGCATTATGTGATTTAAACAAAATTATGGCACAAAACATTGTTTTCAATGATGAAACATGCTATTTTGCTTAACCAAGTGAAATCGGTAAGATAGGGAATCACAAAAGGCTATCATATACACTTTTGGATCTTGTAATAGTACACTAAAGTTTCACCGGGTTGCAGCAGCAAATGTTGAAAATGTTAACCTTTCGAAATTGTGGACAATATATCCATTTTTTCACAATAATGAAACATGCTTTCAGCTAAATCTGACAAGACAAAAAAGATTGCAACTCCTAAGTCAATCTGACAAGCAAAAGCAAACATTTCTAGCTAAATCAGACAAGTCAAAACGGAACTTCTTGCTAAATCCAACAACAAGACACGAATTCCTAGTTAAATGTGACAAAAGAGACAGGAACTTCTAGATAAATCAGACAAGCAGGACAGAAACTCCTACCTAAATCATTCAAAAAGGACAGGAACTCTTCGCTAAATCTAACAAGAAAAATTGATGAATGAAATGAATAATGTTTGTGCATTTGGATATCCTAGATGATATATGTTTTCAAAATAGGACAGTACAAATGGTAAAGTATGTGAGTACCATTTAT